GCACTTCCTTCCCAGTTTGATTCCTGCTCCACCCAAAGTTTCAAACCAACTGCCTAGCAGTGGCAGCAGCATTTCTACTCAGGCAGTGCTGAGGGAGTCAATTGACTTCGTGACTCATTATAATTGACCTGATCCCTACTAAACTCTTCATTCCACACGTGTTAATGACCTTCTCTTGGTTTTACTGCTCTTTGTGCTCCACCCGTCAAGCAGTCCGTTGTGCTGCAATTCTGTTCTCTGTTAGCTGCTCCTGGTCATGAAGCTCCTATCTCACAGCCCTTAAGATTGTTTTTAACCCTTTCAGTGAAGTTCTATATGTTTATATTTGCTTCAATCCATCTTTAAGCCCCTGGCATATTAATAAAGCTTCCAATTTCTTTTTAACTAGAGAAAAATAAGTGCTGTTTCATATGTGCTGATGCATTTCTGTTGTACTCAATTTAGTTAAGAGGAAATAAAATGATCAGTGAGACTACTCAGGTGTTGGATACTAATTTATTGAACACATAAGTAATACCTTTGCCCCACAGCAAGGCTTTAAATACAACACTCAACTTTCTCACTAGAAAGATAGTAAAGCACAAGAACAGGTTACTCAGAGAGGTGGTGGAGTTTCCATCTTTGGAGGTGTTTAAGACCTGGCTAGACAAAGCCTTGGCTGAAATGATGTCACTGGGGCTGGTCCTGCTTTGACCAGGGGGTTGGACTAGATGTGACCACCTGAGGTCCCTTCCCCCGCCCCCAACTTTCTATGATTCTATGATTATGCTGTTAAAATTAGGGATTAGTAGCAACCATCTGAAATCTGTATCTATTCAAAGCTAAAAGCTACTTTAAAGAATTTACTGTTGAGCTTCAGCTGACTTGCTTTCATTTTATTTTGCTTCACTTGTAGGAGAGTCTATGTTCGACACCTAGTAATAAAGGGAATTTTTAATACCCAGTACCTGGAAAGTTGTTAGATGACATGGGAGTAAAATGAATGGCAGTCTGCCATTTTAAAGGTTACACTGAATCAGTACATATGAAAATGAAATGATCATTAGTATCAAAAGATTTGGCAGTGCTCAAATGGGAAAAAAACCCATGTTTTTATATCATTAAGTATGTATCGCATACAATAATTTGTATAAATTAATGTTATCATACATTTTTCCTCTCATAAAACACATGAAACGGATTGACTGTTTTAGGTATTCATATCCATCTGCAGCACTTTCAGACTCTGGCATCCTGACTATTGGAAAACGAATTGACGCTATCCAGGATAGATGGCATTTCCACCAATTACAGCTTAATTGTTGACAGATGGGAACACAGAAGGGAAATATGCGGCAATCATTCAGGGGACAGGTGTATTGTTAAGTGCCAGATCAATTGTTCCAGCCCATTAAATCATTGACCTTTCCTGCCTGTACTCAATATTAAATGCAAAGCCTTTGCAATGCTTTCCTGCACATGGTGGTTATGCAAGATCTGGAATGGATTCATAAGCATGTTTCTTAAATATATAATGCAAGCGGAGAGTCATTTGCCACTAACTACCTTTACTGTTTATACAGTGCCGATCCCAAAATTGATCTTGTTGTTGTTCTTCTGCTTCTTCTTGTGGTTTGCTTGCCATTTCAGTGTTTGTGGATTTATATACACGGTAGGAAATTGTCCAGAAGCGACAGCAATAGTCTCCTTGAAGAATGCAGTTCGGTGGATACGTAGCAGACACAGGGAACTGCACAGGGAATGCAGTTTCATAGATTCATAGATTCATAGATTCATAGATTAAGGGTCGGAAGGGACCTAGTAGATCTTCTAGCCCGACCCCCCGCCAGGGCGGGAGAACAACAAAAACCCCAAAAAGAGAAATGGGACTCAAACGAGTCCAGCTAGGTGGGCATCCAGCCTCTTCTTAAAGACCCCCAGGGTAGGGGCCAGCACCACTTC